CACCACTCAAGACACTGCATGTAGATGCTGTCTCCATGTAGATGCAGTGTCTTGAATGATGACGTATTATTATGCAACTGACAAAATACAGCACCGGGAAGACTTACAGGTTTCCCAAGACAGCAACAAACTACCTCGACATGAGGAATATCCTGGGAAAGCCAGGGAAGGTGGGAAAACATAATGACCTGCCTGGCCATCGCTAGGGAGCTGTTGTGGTGGGTGTAGAGAGCTAAAGCTCTAATTAATTGATGTTAAATAGCCTAGAGTCCACCAACGAGACAATGACAAAGATCCTCCGTTCAGACGGCTGGGGCAAAGTGCGGTTAGCGAGCACCGACTCATTTAAGTCTGAACCAACCTAGCGATGACCCAGAAACACATACACGCAGACTGCATATCGATCCAGAGCAGTGGTTTACGGTTTGCTTCCATCACACAGCACCGCTTTAGATGTGCTAATGATAATTATAGCCTAATTATTTTATCAATATTTGCTATCTCCATGCCCTTCCTGCCTCTCCCGGCGTTTTCCTATTTTTGGCTGTATGCTTTAGAGCACGCCTTGGTAATTCCGCGCAGACATCATTCGGCGGCTGCAGAAATTGCACGGGGAGGGGAAGCTGTGAACGCCACAGGCTTGGACAACTTCCCGCAGGACAAGAATCATACGCGGAGCAGCCGGGCGTTCAGCAGATGCAATCGATACGCGGGGGTCCTTAACAAGAAAGGATCGCACCTGGAAGAAACCACGTGTTCGTTGATTGTGAGTCGCAGCCCTGACCTCCCTAAGCCAATGTGAGAATCGTGTTTTTCTTTCCACCTCGTCTCAATTTTCCACTTTCTGCCCGTGCCCCCGAGCATTCCCCAAACGCAGGGGAAATACAAAAAAAATCAAGCAAAACAAAAAGTAATTGTCGAGCACCCGGGTGCTTGTTTCAACCTTAATGTTCAAACTTAAGGAAGTAGGTATTAAATGTATCACGCTGTATGGTGATATCCGATAAATCAGCGGCAACTCCAAGGTCACCACGTGATTGCTTCCGAGCAACATCAAAGTGGAGGCGCCATTCCACATATTCACCGTGCTGGTTTTGGCAAAAAAAAATGAAAACCCGAAGCATGAGTAGCATCCAACAGATGGAAATGAGGCGCCAATTAAAGGTGTCTGATTTCATTACTTAGCAGTGTAGTGCTCTGGAACAACAAAGCACTGATTATCGTGCATCACGAAAAGTCAAGTGGCTATTAAAGAAAGGCGGCCTTTCCTTGTGGCGTCACCCTTAATGATCGCTATCAAATCCACTCCCGAGTTTGATGGTGTATAATGCCATTTCAAAAAAACAAAGAGACGTATCAATACAACAACTATTAGCCACGTGTATACAGATATACAGGGTCGATTCCATAGAAACAGAAGTACAGCATGGCACAGCCATACCCTTATGATCACAAAATATTACAAAGATTACACACTCATCATATTTGCTTCTCCAGTTTCTAAATGTGCTTGCACAGCCCTGTGGTGTGATACATAAAGGACTGAATTTCATTGCTGCATCCAACGTGCCTGCATTGTGTCTGTAATTGAGTTGAAGTGGAATTGCCTGAAGGATGCCGCTGTGCTGTATAATGGTTAGCACACATGACTTGCAATCTAGAACAATGACTCTTATAACCTTACACCCCTTGGGTTCTAAATCGTAAAAAAATATCTTTAATGTTAATAAATACATAGGTTTGATGAAACAAAGTCGTTGTACTTACGTGTTCCAAAAAAGATCTGGCCATCTCTCGCATCCCCCAAAAAGGGCATCTCGCACCCCCAGTTTAAGAACCACTGATCGAGAGAATCGCCGTTTTGATTTTCCGGCGAGGCCGTTGAAACTTGAGCAAATTTCTTAAATCTCTCCCCCCCCACCCCGCCTCTGTCCACCCAGCAGTATAAATGAATTAGCCGTGCGTCAGGCCGCGTGTGATGGGGTAAAGTGTGGGATACTCCCGCCTTTTCCAAGAATTATGGACAAATACCCTCTAGAGGAGCTCTCTAGAGCTCCCCCAAGTGGAAATCCTTCGACCAGCAAGTAATAGCAGGTCTACACCCAGTGCCGGATTAAGCTAGTGCGGGGCCTGTAGCATATGTTATAAAGGGGCCCTAACACATAAATATGAAAACACAAATGTCTTAATTGCATCGTAAAGTAATTGTATTTTTTCATTTGCTATGCAGCCAGATAATACGACAAATCGCTAATCTTAAACACACAGTCGTTCATAAAAGTTGAAGGCAGTATAGTACTATAGTAATAGAGCAAGTGCAGAATCACTGAACCGGAATTTATAGCTTGAAAGCATTGAGCGCGGGGCCCTTGTAAGTGCGGGGCCCGTAGCATATGCTACTTTTGCTACTAGGATAATTCGGCACTGCCTACACCTTGACCTTTACCTAGAATCGCCGATGTATATGTATATACGGTGTATAATTCCTCCGCTACTGGAGAATTTCAACATAATTTATCTAACTGTTGTTTATGGAGCAACTGATTTCAATTCACGTTAAAAAATGCGACTGGGATATATGTTTTATGTCCCATATCTGCCACCAGACAACAGTCTATTGTTCTGTTTTTTGGCAATGCTTTGAAGAACAATTGCATGTTAAATACGGCATCCGTGCTCCAAAAGCACAGGATATAGGCACGGTGCGGAATTGTCAACTATTACTTGAAAAGCTAAGATTATAGTGGAACAGCGGTGCATTGGTACACTGTGCTATTAAACCCGTGGCCTGAGTTTGATTTCCAGCCACAGCTAACATCAGTGGCGAGTGATATCTGAACCAAGACAAAGATGCCCGAGTAGCCTTAACAGGCTGTTGGGGCAAGTGCTGTTTGTGAGCACCTATGAGGCCTGCACGGCTCACCTATGAGGCCTGCACGGCACACAAGGCGGTGGGTAACTAACACCACGACTGGCTGTTTATTTACACATCGTATTAGGTACCAATTTATGTCTGAGTCGATCTAGGGAAGGCCCAGGACTGGTCACTGGTATTGGCCATGAACTCGGGTCACAGGGTTAATAGTGCAGCACACATGCCTGACTGCTGATGAGTCCAGGAAGGTGAAATCAGTCAAGACTTTGAGTGGTTAAACTAATGCTACTACTCGTCGGCATACGTTTAGAAGGCTAATAGGATGTGGACTTAATAACATATGGAACTGTATGGAGATTGGCTGATGATCCCAAAAAGCCAAACTAAAAAGTAGTTTGGACCTTTATGCATAACAGAAATAATCATATGTGTGTTCTTAAAGTGTACAAGCTGAAGGGAATAACATTTAAAATGAAAGTGTTAAAAATTGTACTACTACTTTAGCATAATAATAACTCAAGGTCTTGTAGTAAAACTTTGCCAAATCGCTCAAGTTTATAAACAATAGTGGCTTTGAGTACCTTATTATACAAAAATGTAAATAATTTAAATTACATAAGGTGGGCTGATTTTTCCCACCAATAGTAACAGCCCAGCTTGAGGTGAAATCAGCTTGAATAGGGCACAGCATTCCTGCAGGTATATTTTTATATTTTTTGCACTTATTCCAGATTCATGCTGTGCCCAGTGTTAACAAATACCAGGGGACATTAACAAAAAATGTTCCCTTTTATGTCACTAAAGCCTATGGAACTGCAATTCAGTGACACATTTCAGAGAACACTGGTTGTGTTGGTAATTTTTTCTTCGTCCTTCCAGCGGATTATTCTTATTCATATGAATGGTTATTTAGCGTTAAGTATGATTTTAAGTAACATTATTATTCATCTCAAACTTCGAGGCGTGTGCGTTTGCGATGCCACATTCCACGCTCCTCCGAGTCCGTAAGTTAAATTTCACCCGAGGAGCAGATGACCCATAGACCGGCAGTAACAGATTATCAGAGCCTGCATTATTATTTAAGCTTCTCAATAAAAAATAATTTATCATTCTGCTTGACCGTGTCTCGTGCTAATTGTAGTTTCTCGCGCACGGCACCAGACACAGTGTCACGGACCAACCCATCAACATAATCAGCCACGATCTATCCACTGTTGGATGAACGTTTCCTCACCGTCGTTGCCATCCCTCCACTGTCTCTATCGATGCCATCATTCGCCTCACCTCCTGCACAGACATCGCCTGATCTCATCGCTTCAACTACTCGGTGGTCATGCTGTCAGTCGCGTTTTCATCGTTTTGGATGGCATTCCGTCTGCAGTACAGACGGCATACAGTATTGAGTTTAACACGTATGCTCTCGCCACCAATATTATTCATAACAAAGGTTTTTTTGGGTTGGAGCGCGTAAATATATAAATGTGTTGTTAACCCACCACCACCCGGCACAGCCAATTAGCGAGCTTTGTCACGTAAACAAAACGCGCCAGATAGTTACTGCTTCACCACACCGGTGTGTTGAAGAGTAAAGCCACAACAAATGCAATATGAGTACGACGTTTCGCTGGTGATTATAACCACCTTCATCGGGGTATTTGCCAGAATTATAAATAATTCTTCCTGCTTCCAGTCTCAAACAGAACAATACGGTGCAATCAATTGTGTGCCTATCAGGCACCGCAGGTCAGAGGGTGGCTTCATGCAATCATATTCATCACCTTTCTTTTGAACGTGACAAACGTTTCTGCAATTAATTAGTCCCGTCCGCCTTTCGAGGGCTTTTTTTTGTTTCTCTTTCTCATTTTGCATAAAAAAATACCCCCCCCCAAAAATAAAAATATAAAAATAAAAATTCAGTGGCGCAGCACGGCAGCTAGGGGGCATCGCGTGGCGCGTGAGCGAAGCCGCAAACATTCCGCTGGTGCCGACGACGACGGATGATGAAGAAGCTTGCTGCTCGCTGCAGATAGGCGTGGGGGTGGTGGTTGGTGGTGGTGGTGGTAGGGGGGGCGTGCAAATACGGAGGGGAGGAGGGTCCCTGTTGAAAAATAAAGGCGTGCTTTCACCTTTATTTCTTTATTTATGCCACCGCGCCTGTGTTACTGCCGCCGCCGCTGTTGCCGTGGCCCGACTGGCTCGGCCGGCCGTCTTCTTCGTGTCTTGCCGCTGCCGCCCGGGCCGCGCTTTGCGAGGCAGAGAACATGGCGGAGTAGCGTTGAGGAGGAAGGCGACCACAGAGAAAGAAGAGACGGTGCGGTGTGCGGTGTTGTGTGTGTTCGACGATACCCTGTCGTCGCTTCAAACATCATCATCAACAACATCATCGTCGTCGGGGGAGAAGAGCCATCGACGAGGGCAGCGCTCGCGAGATAAAGAAGCCGAAGTCTGACGCCGCCAACGCCGCCGTCAGCGGCGGCCTCTTGGCTCGCTCGTGGAGCTTTCGAGAGCAGAAAGTTGACGGACGTCGACTCACCGACTACGAGTCTTAAGAAGACGGGGGAAGAAGTTTAAGGTGGTTTAAATTACTTTTTTTGTTGTTGTTGGTGTGGTTGGAGGAGTGCAGGGGGTTGGGTAGCGACTCGCACCCCCCCCCCCCCCCCAAAAAAAAAGGAATTCGAAAGTTTATTTTTGTTTAAATTGTGGGGTTTAATTCGACGCTTTCAAGTCTCTCGTCGATGTTATTAAGTTCCGTTCGTTTCGGAGGACATTTCATTATTTTCGGTCGTCGACGAAGAGCGTTTCGCGGGAGTTGAAGTGCGAGGAGGATCGGTGAGTGGAGTGCCTCCTCGTGTGTGGTGAGTGATGTGTGGTGAGTGATGTGTGATGAGTGGTGAGTGATGTATGATGAGTGGTGAGTAGTAACGTGTGTGATGAGTGATGTGTGATGAGTGGTGTGTGATGTGTGTGATGAGTGATGTGTGATGAGTGGTGTGTGATGAGTGGTGTGTGATGTGTGTGGTGAGTGATGTGTGGTGAGTGATGAGTGGTGAGTAGTAACGTGTGTGATGAGTGATGAGTGGTGTGTGATGTGTGGTGAGTGGTGAGTGATGTGTGGTGAGTGGTGAGTAGTAACGTGTGTGGTGAGTGATGAGTGGTGAGTGATGTGTGATGAGTGGTGAGTAGTAACGTGGTCTACCTCACCAGGTCATCACAGTCGTCTCGACACCTCACTATCATCAATCACCACCACCATCGTAGCTGTCAAACCCGTACGGGTTCATTTTGTGTTCTTGTTACAGGCACATTGAGTTTGCAGGGCCCATACCATACGGGTGCACACACACACGATAAATTGTGTCAATTTTGTGTGTTTCACCCCTCGTGATGGGACTTGGTAGGAGGCACGTTGAGATTGATCTAAATAAGGGGCACGGGGTGAGCAATACTGTCTCGATTGCTCTGTAATAAGGTAGGGCATTGTTGATTAGGGATTGCTTGATAAAGTCCATCACTCGCGATCCATCACCCATCCAAGCACCCACGATCGTCCACCCATCATCATCAACAATGATGAGGATGATGTTTTAATATCCGCAGCAGTGGCGGCGGTGTTTTTATATATTTTTTTGCCCCCAGATTTTCGTGGAGCGTGTAAAAGACGGGGAGACATTATCTATTACTTTACGGCTTGTAAAGTAATAATAGCAGTAACAAATGATGCCGACTCGACGTTCTGTTTTGAATCGCCGTAACGTTATAGCCAGGCTGATGTCGAAGCTTGTGGCGTGGCGCGACGAGTTATCTCTCTCTCCGGCTATCTGTGTGCATCCGACTTTAATAGGCGCTCGCAAACATCTCGTGTTCCTTACGGAGCAGCTTCATCAAGGATACATATTGGCGAGACGATTAACCATGTTTAATGCGTGTAGCGCGCGTGTGTGTGCCACGGAGTTTGACCAGTTTGCCTAGCAGGTATTATTACTACTTACGTGTGTGTGTGTTTCGGCATTAGCAATGTGCACGTTACGTGTGGTTGTTGTATAGGCATGTCGTATGCACCATTGTGTTTGTACGATGCTTGCTTTGCAAGTGTCCCAGCGTGTCGAGGTGCGGTCAAATAACCTCCTACCCCCCGACCCTTGCTAGCAGCATGGCATAACGTGGAGGCCCTAATCTAGCAGTGGATATGTGATGCAGTACTGCTACGTGACTTATAGTATGTACAACACTATGCATGCATTTTGCACATGTATGCACCTGTGTGTTATTTTGCACGTAAATGTTACGTCTGTACAGTATAACAATAGTGCTGTGTGACGTGCACTGCGTGGGCGGGAAGTCACTATACTCATTTAGCACTGTGGGCCTTGAATGGCCTATACGGCGGGGGTATATGGACTTCTCGTCCACCCTGCAACGAACGATGCTTTAAATGCACGCTTTTAAACAAATGCTGTGGTATTCGAAAACAGAATATAGATAACGGTGGGTTGAAATGTAAGCATTTATACTAATGGATGGGTTTTTAATGTTTGATGTTTATTATATTTTGTGTAACGCAAAAAGCAATGTATCATTAATTCTAAACGAGTGGATGTAGCTGGCGCCGATGTGCGTTAATTATTCTAAAATGCTGTACTTTTTTAATTTAATCAGTGGCATTGTTTTTCCTATGCGTGCTGCACAATTCCGTAGTCAAACACACAGCACGAGTGATACTCAGCGGCAGTCTGGCCCGTGAAACTTGATTTGAGCCCATATGTTGGCAATTGACAGATGGGAAATGTAGACTAACAACATATATACACATTGTAGGCAGGGGCGCCATGGTTAGAACACAGCACTATGAACCCGAATACCAAAGTTCCATTCCCGGTCACGGCTAACATCAGTGGCGTGTGATATCTGAACCGGTCATAGGCATCCGCTTAACCAAGACGCACAGCCATGGGTGGTGAAGTATGGGCAACCCCCCACCACGACCTTTATTCAGTAGTGGATTGGCAAAGGGCTCTATATATTAAGTTTTCACATAAGCCAATGTATACAAATTAATATTGCCCTAAATTATATTAAACTTGTATTCAATACGGCTAGGGGGTAGTAAAACATTTTGAGAAATAAATACTGTCCTCGGAAATGTCTAACATTTTCCAGTTTTTATTACGTAGAACTTGATTCTATGAATGCAATGCAAATATGTGCCTGTGAGAATAGCAAAAAGTAAGTTTGACATACCTAGGTTGTTTTTTTTTATATGGCCACAACCTTTGTTTTTAGCCTTTTCAACAAATGTGCTACTCAGCACAGTTGTTCCGAAAATAAATATATATTTTTTTCATGATAGAACATGCTTTTAAAAACCACAGAGACGTTAACGACGTACTTTCGAACCTTCTGACCACTCGACTATTAAAGCAAATACAGTTTCAGAAATTAGCTTAGGACTGTTGAAAATACAAGTATTTTCTACACTAGACAAAACTGAAAACATTTAAACCAAAAAATAAGCAGTTTTTGTGCCGTCACATTCGTAGTGAAAAATTACCATTGCCAAAATGTTCTAATCATACGGTGTACGTTTTATACAATACTGTCCTAAAATTCTACATATAGCCCCTTGTAAGACCACTGCTAGATGAAGGCCTTCCTTCACCACGTTGGCCATCGTGGGTTGTCAGCCGTAGCGAGGAATTGTACTCGGATCGCCAGGTTCATAGCGCGGTGTGCAAACTATTAAGACGTTATGCTTGTGAAATATGTTTACGTTTATAATGTGTACATTGTTAAGCAGTGTGACGAGGTGGTTTTTTAATCGTTTGCATGAAGTCATCAAGAGCACTGCAACGATTATTGCACTAATTGTGTGTTCCCGTAATTCTGAGCAATCTTTTTGTCAAATAATTAACACAAAGTTTAAGTGTACATTCAAACTAGTTCAATATTTTGTTATCTTTCATACACTTTGGTACCGAAACATCAAAATAAGTGTTTTGACAATCTCCCCTCTATGCATGCTGTATTTGACAGTTACGCTTTAAAACATGCATTCGTATACCATATGAGACTATTGTTAACGCATTATTCATGTACTTGTACAGCCCGTGCCGTGACGGGCACGGCTGTTATTTGACAATTTCCTCGCCACGCTGGTGAGTGTGGGTTTATGAAGGCGGGGGGCGGGGGGGAGGGCGCATATAAGTGTAGTCCAACAATTAATTTAGTTGCTCTGCCCTCTGCCGCATATATACATTGGGAATAATACGTTAATTAATCGTGTGTTTTTTTTTAAGTCGTATTTATTTTAGCCCCGTTAGAGCGCTTGACGTAAAGAATACGATGCATGTCGTTTTCTTGTCCTTTCTCTGCTTGGTTTTGCGTGCCCCCCCCCCCCCCCGCTCTGCTGCTCGCTAGGCTGGACGTTAGCTGCAGGAGACACTGGCTTGCGAGTACTATGCGCGAGTGGGACGGGGCTCTGGCACGCCAGACAGCGGGGAGCGAGCAGCGGAGATACCCCGTCCACCCGAGGGGACAGCACAGCGAGCCCAGCACCCTCGCCCGTGCGCCGGCAACGCAGCCCGTGGCGCCACCCTGCATGTGGCCACAAACGGCGCACGTGTGTAGTTAACTTCGTCAGCTTTTTGTTTTTTCTACACTTGTTTCCATCCTCATCCCCCAGCTCCTCCTCTTCATCGTCGTTTTTTTTATAGTTGTCTTCTCGTTAGCGCGTTCTCCAAATTTGCGTAATTTCTTCCGTTGAAGGAGGATCGACACCGTCCCAAGTGGGGTGGGGTGGTGGGGGAGCTGCTTTGAGCGGCCGTGCTTCTGGAAGACGATCGTTTGTGCAGGAGAGGAGTCGCGCAAGTTTTGTAGGTTTCTTCTCTGTCGGGTTTATTTTTTTGGTTGCGCGAACCAACAACACTTGCATTGTTCAAAGGCACTTGGACGCAGATTGTAACAGAGACGGCACAATGTCCAACGAAGGCTTCAAGTACAGGGCCCTGTACGCCTACCGCCGGGAGCGCAACGAGGACATCGACCTGCTGCCCGGCGACGTCCTCGTTGTCACCAAGGCCTCGCTGCTGGCCCTCAACTTCACCAAGGAAGGCGCCGAGCGCTTCCCGCAGATGATCGGCTGGATTTCGGGCGTCAACGAGCGCACCAAAGAGCACGGAGAATTCCCCGGCACCTACGTGGAGTACCTGAGCCCCGTGAAGATGGCGCCGCCGACCCCCAAGCCTCGCCCGTCACGACCCCTGCCACAAGCGCCACCGTCTGTCGCGTCCGGCGGTGTGGAGCAGGGGGCCGCTGCTGCAGATCCCAACGGTAAGTGTTGGCGCGCCCTGTGGTTCTTTTTTTTTTTTTGCCACGACGAATTTTGTCTCGATCGGTGCAAGCCAAGGGGAAATTGCTTTCGCTAAATGTTTTAGTCGCTAACAAAAAAAAATGTAATTTGTGCGTTATGTAATGTCCGGTGTTGCTTGGCATGATGCCCGGCGTTTCGCCGCATGGCCCTGGGAGCTTCAGATTTTGAAGGGGGATATTTTTTTTTACGCAGCACCTAAACTGATACATCGGACCTTGTGTCGAACAATACGCGCGGTCGCATGGGAGAGAGCCACACAGCGCAAATGCAAACACCTACACAGCATTTGGCAAACATTGTCTGTACCCACATGCGAATTAAGACCTTAAACTTTAAAGAACCAAATTGTAATTGCTTAAGCTATTAAGCCGATTATCACGAGTAATAGCAAATGCAAGGGTCTTTGACTAAGTAGGAATACACCACTGTAAAATGATCTCAACTCATCTTTGATCCCCCCCCCGAAAAACGTTTTACTTTTTGTACCAAGCTCTTAACGGGCGTTATTTGACTCAGAGGTGACGATGTACCCACCAGTGGCTTTATCGCGCAATTGCAGCTCCTTTGCTGAGTGTAGTACTTACCATACAGTGTGTGCATTGACTTTTCTCGTTGGAATTGGCCCCATGTCTTTGACCGGTGGTGGCCTCTGGCTACAACACTGTAACTACTACTATCAATGGTGTGGTGGGGTGGGTAGTTGGCTTTATAACCCACTACAGTATGCATTAAGCAATTTGACCCGACCGACAAAGCGTTGATAACGTTGATGGCTGCGAAAAAAGTTTTTTTTTTACGACAATGGAGACGACGATTATAATGCCGGTTTTTTTGTGGTCATTGCCCAACTTGCTCGCTGCGAAAAACTTTCTTGCACGTCGAGGAAGTCGCCGCAGTTGTAGGTTTACCGGCAAAGCGCCAAACGCGTTTCGGTCGAGCTGTGCGCCCCGCAGCAAACCTATGAGACACACATCTGGTACGAAACGCGTGGTCCGCTCTTTACCAATATGTGCGCACCACTCGCCCTATCCCGCCCGCCGCCGATGTAAAAATCCTCACCAGCTGGAAGATGTCACACCTTGGGCGACGCGGTGAACAAGAGTCGCCGCGAGGTGCGTAGCTGAGGGTGTGCCGCTGCGCTTGCTACCTCGAGTGGCGGGGGCCCAGCACGACGACATTGAGGCGCCCAAACCGAAACAAATCCTCGCCCAGACTTGTCACGAGATCCAAAGATTGTACACGGCACTTAATGGTCGCGCGTTTTTCGTCGACGTGCCTTCATAGCAACTAATTAGAATGCAATTGAACACGCCTATACACTCCTCCAACGGCTTGTATAATGTAGATCCTGGTGTGTGTGTGTGTGTAGTAATGTGTATGCCCGGGCATGGTGTTGGTCACCCACCCCCTCGTGTGCCGTACTGGCCTTCATAGGTGCTCGCTAACAGCACTTGCCCCAAATAATCTGTTTAGGCTATATGGGGGATATTTGTGTATGCACATTGTTAGGTTCACTTAATGTAGAGTATTGTGTTCTCAAGCGAATGTTAGACATCTTGGGCATGCACACGAGCAGTGGTTACTATCTAGGACCTAGCCAAGTCTTAAACGAAACTATTTTTATGTTACCAGGTAGGGCACACTGAGCCATATAGCGACCTGGCCACAAATGATAGCCCAATGAAGTGGCTTACATGGACATTTACAGCAGACAAATACTCTAAGAGGACTCAATTGTCATTGCCTATCGTCCGTGCAGGGGAAACAAAGGTGGCTAGGCTTTTGTCCCACCGCCACCTTGTGCAATGCACAGCAACTAAACGGGGATCGGTGAGACAAAATTGCACTCTTAGAGTACTGCTGCATTATCTTCAGACTTTTCTCAATCAACTGACAGACGCATGAATAAAGATTGAAAAAAAGTCGTGATGTTTTTATTATATTAGGTGTGCAATGGGTCACTCCAAACAGTGTGATGATTTGTTGCACTTCATGGTCACGATTAATTTTAACCATTAATATATATCTTGATACTATAATTGTTCACGTAGAATGTAATAGCTATGCTTGATTAAAAAAAATATTTCTTCTTATGCACGCATGGTTGGAGCCCGAGGAAATGTGTTCTGTGCAGTTCGCTTTGACCATTGCATCACTTTGGACCACTTTGCTCTGCATGCTGTGGTTGTGCATTTTTTTGAACGTACAGTACAGCCCTGCAGTTTGCGTTTAAACTACGCCGCCTCTTTTGCTGCTGCTGGGAGTAGTGTTGGACGTGATAAGCTTGTTTTTAAGCCTTCTGTGGTATGTGCTGCGGACACCGCAGACTGCTGAACTGCCATTTCTTCTGATAACGTGTTAAAGTTTTGCGTGAATGAGGCTACGGGTAAGACGATCTATTTTTTGCTCGCTTTGCGGAAAGTTTCCACCCCCTTTCCTTTAACCGAGTATTTTAGGTTACTTTAGGTAATAATGAGGGCGCCTCGTTCGGCCATTTACTGAACTTTTTCATTAAATATTATGCGTGCAGAAGGCAAGTGGAAGTCTCGAAAAAAACACAAATAGGGGAGATGAATACTCAGTCTTAACACTGGTTGGCCAACAACCTACTTGGTGTACTTTCCTTTGAAAAATCCCTGGCACAAAGCTGTCACAAGTCACATCTGCGGATTTGAATATAGTATATACAAAAAAAGAGTTGTCTGTGCCGCCGGGCCTCTGAACGCTTGCAAAAAAAAAGATTTGACTAGAACATTTTGTGAAAGCGGGTGAATAATTGTTTTTTTAATTGCAGTCAGCAACAGTGCTCCTATGGAAGTTCAGCATAGACACCGCATGCCATTTTACACTTCAGAAAAAATTGGCTGCATGTAGCGTCGCACACGTAGGTGATCTGAATGTGCCTTTCAGCATTAAATTCGCATGAAAATGTAGTGGAGTTTGTTTGGATAAAGCAAGACGCCTGCAGGCAAGAAAACCTTTTGGCCTAGCGCAGCTTTCATGGGCTGTTTTAAATGGCGTGCGCTTATTTCATAACCATGGCGTGAGCTTCAGTCCCACACAGGGCAACAATTGTTCACTGGGCCTCGGGTAGAGCAGGGTGAAGCTAAGGATAGCAAACGATCGATGGCTGCCTTTTGCTACAAGACAGTCTCAATCTCTCGATTGTGCACAGTGAACAAGGGCTCTTGACGAGGGAGGAAAAAGCCCTTTTGCAAGCGATGGCCAAGCGGCATTTGTGAATTTAGCACGCGAACGAGCAACTCCGATTGGGCCCGGGCTTGCATAAGGTTTATGGCAGTTCGCTGTCTTTATTGCAAACTGTTTCACAGATACCGCGCATAGAAACAGAAATCGTATGTACTCTTTGTTTTTTTTTTCGGTAAAGTCACGTAGGTAAAATAAAATAAAACAACTAAATTAAATCACGACGTTTCGGAGGCAACACAAGCTTCCGTCTTCAGGTGGAACAGTCACAGCAGAATATCTGTGATGGTCTGCTGTGACTGAAGACAGAAGCTTGTGTTGCCTCCGAAACGTCGTGATTTAATTTAGTTTTATTTTATTTTACCTACGTGACTTTACCGAAAAAAACAAAGAGTGTGAATCCTTGCAGTCACGAAAGCTTCAAATCTAGAAGAAATCGTATGGTTACGCATGGATGGGTGGTTGAAGGGACGGGCTGGTATTTTTACAAGCAGAAGTACGGGAGTGCAATGTTCGATCGGATGGGTGCTTCGGTCGGAGGGTGGGCAATACAGTGTGACGGCAAACTTTTGAGGTCTTTTCACATGCGCGCTCTCTTGTCGTGTTCGCGTATTTCTAATCCCCATCCTCGACTCTGGGGCAAGTGCAATAAAAATGCATTTCAGAGCCGGCAAGACCTGTTGCTGAGCTTTTCAAAAAGCGCTTCTTTGTGCTTGCACCTTCAGAGCTGCTGCCAACACTTCACTGTTGCCTTCTCACAGCGATAAATGGAGCTATTGTCTCTTGCGTGCCAATTTAGAACTATTTCAATAGGTTTTTTTTGTTGGAGAATTAGTTTGGGTTTTGAGCAGTTTCAATTCTTTTGCTGGATTTTAGTTGGGTGCATTTCTGCGAGTGAGTGAGTGTGTTTGAATCAACTGGGATTTAGATTTCAATCATGTTGGACAAGTTTATTTAAATTGTCAACCTGTTGCAAACGGAAATGTAGGAAAGGTCATTTATTGTCAATACATTTGGGCAAGGTGACATGCAGCAATCTGTGCTAATTAAAATTAAATATCTTTCCCCAGGTGCAGCCTGAACTTGTTTGCATAAATGAAGTCGGAAATTTGTATTTGTCATCGTTTGCCCTCTTCTTTACTTGAAGAATTGCGCTGTCAGTGGAACATTGCAACATCGGTAATCTTACACGCTGCGGTGTCTATATTATATGTGTTATGTTTTATGACGGCTGTAAAATCATCGTAATGCAATATCTTATACAGCATTGCTGTCCACCGGCCGTTCCTCCGGTGCTTTTGAGGTTACCGACTGAATAATATCCAACCTATTTATTTTATTCTTGTTTTCTATTGCGTTTTCTTGTATTGCATTGATATTAATATATTCATATTTTCACACTGGCGCTTCAGCGGAAGCTTCACTTTCACCTCTCCCGCTGAATGGCAGTGCTGTACGGTACCTTTCTTGTAAAATTTAAGTTGCTGCTCCAGCTGCGCTGGGTTTTCTGGGGTGCAAGAGAGTGCCCAAAATGCGGTGGTAATTTCTGGCCAATACCGCTGTGTAGTATTACTGTGTATACAGGTGCACTGTGTATTTAGTTTAGAGTATTTTGGCTGATATAAATTTCCACGCGATAAACCTCTGTTGTATGTATGCATGTTGAACTTCTTTCGCACCGTACGTAGCCAGCCGTGCTAATCGGGAGTGCGGGGGGGGGACAACAGACTTGACACAAAATGCAGTTCTGAAG